TGTTTAGTGCCATTGTTGATCATTGTTGATTTTATTTGTTGGAGCATGACACAGCTCCTAAGAAAGTAATTACGTTTGTTATCATTAAGTAATCTTAAAATAGTTACAGTCTGTTCTCCAAAACCTTATCAACATTGTACTTCCTTTTTGCCCTCAAACATTTTCCAAAATGCTTTGATGTTTAATCTTTTTTAAGAAAAAGAAATTGCCCTTTATGAATATTTTATTATACCTAAATTCCATTTCAGTACTATTATGTAAGCAGAACTCTTTTGAACGTGAAGATTTGTAATTTTTAAAACTTATATTTTGTGGAGTGAGATGTTTGTTTATTTTAAGAATCTTAATGAATAAGATTACACTTGAAAATGAAAAAACTCAAATTTTGGACTGCTTGCCATGGAATCAATTCTGACTCATAGTGACCCTATAGGACACGGCAGAACTGCTTTCTAGGTTTCTAAGACCCTAACCCTATGGGGGGTAGAAAGCCCCTTCCTTCTCCTGAGGAGTGGCCGGTGATTTTGAACTGCTGACCTTCTGGTTAGCAGCCCAGTGCATCTCCATTATGCCACAAGAGCACCTAAAATCAACGTTCTTACTAGATTAATATGAATATTTTTCTTACTCTTAATACTTCATTGCAATCAGTTTTCTGGATTGCCTAAAATGTCTGAGCATTTTATACTGGTATACTAGAAATAATTCATTCCATGTTAGGAAAAAAGTACTGCTCATCTCTTGGGAGAATTTCATAACATATTTTAGTGCATGTTGGCCTGAATAATGAGGAATTAGATTTGATGACTTTAGTATTGTAAAAGTTTTATCACACCACTAAATCTGAATCCTAGTTAATCATTTTAAACAAATATCTGCAATGTAGCAAATTAATACGTGAGATGATTTTGAGCTACATCGTTTTACAGAGTAAAAAGCGACAGTATGACCAAGAAATTGAGAATCTAGAAAAACAGCAGAAACAGACAATTGAACGACTAGAGCAAGAACACACAAATCGCTTGCGAGATGAAGCCAAACGCATTAAAGGAGAACAAGAGAAGGAGCTGTCCAAATTTCAGAACATGTTAAAGAACCGAAAGAAGGAGGTAAGCGGGACTGGGTTTCAGTGACTGCAGCTGTTCTTATGTTCACATAGGGGTATTTCAGTCCGTCTCTTTCGTCTTCCCAACTGTGATAGGGGGAGTAGCCAGGCCAGGCGTTACTTTGTTTTGTGAGTGTGAGGTGTAAGGGCTTGCCCAGGCCCACGGCGTCGCAACAAGCACCCAGCTAACCTTGAACCAAATCTTCAACGTGAGCCAGTCCATCGCTCCTCATTCTATTATTTCTCATTTATTAATGGAACACCTGAGCCTTTTGTAGAAGTAGTTTTAAAAAGAAAATTATGCTGGGTTTGAAGGTAGCAATACTAATTTAGTTTATTATTTATTTGTCATCTTTTAATTCACACTTGTAATAATTTTTTTCTCTTGATTGGCTTATTATCTCTTTGGGGTATTTTACCAAAACAAAAACTGAGTAACCTGAAATTTCATAGAGTATCTATGAATTATCTATAAGTCATCCAATTTTAAAATGCTTTGAAGAGCCCAAATAGAAAATATCTGTGAAGTCATCTGATTCTAAGCTTTCTCAGTTTTCCATGATGTATGAAATCTATTTGTAGTGTTATTTACTATAAAAGATTGTCATTGAGTCAGAGGAGTAATTACTTATTAGTATAGCTTTTTGTCCCTAAATGAGAATAAAAGTAAGAAAGCTTTACTTGCAAGCAATTTTTGAGAGAATTTGTTTTTTTTCTGTATTATTAGTGTAGTACAGAATAGATCATTCTGTACTAAATAATTTTCATAATATATAACACCCTAGGGACAAGAGTTATTATCAAATCTAAGGGTGGAACAAAAAAAAAAAACACAACAGAAAACACCCCCTCACCTGAGCTAAATAAATGTTTTTTCACTTTTCTTATACATCTGAAATACCCAGGTGTATTGACTTTTTAAATTATGAAGAATATTTAACACCATAATGCTGAATTTTAAGGACTGATCCAAACAAACAAATGGTAGTGCATTTTGTAGTTTCTTTATGAAGAGAAGGAAAAAAAAGGTAATGTAGTTTTATTTGATGTGGCTACCACTTCTAAAAATTAGGGTTTTGTTACTAAATGTTTTATATAGAAATGATATCTATATTATGATGTACAGCTTTATTGGGGCTGCATGGTAATTTTGTTACCATCATGGGTAGTTTTTTTTAAGAGGTTATTCTAGATTAGATGAAAATCTTTGGGTATGTAAATGATTTAATCCTAAATGTTTCTTGTTATTGTTTCTGCTTTGAGATAGAGATCATATGTGCACATTTTAAATAATTCTTTTGTGTTTGTTTTTTTCTCATCACTACACTTCTTGCATTTGGGGAGTTTCTTCCTTTTCATGGTGATTTGGTGATTGGGTCCCATGAGGGCTCGCTGGTGGGAAATTTAAGTGCACGATGTTAAATCAAAACCAGGCTCTCGAGGACCAGCAACAGCTTGTGGTGATTTGGAATCTGGTTTCTTCTGGTGCTTCTACTTGTAAACACATGATTGTTTTCCATGGGTGGACTATTACAGACTATCATTAGTCAGCGTACACATCTAGGATTTTTAGATGATTGAAAGCTCTAAAATGTACTCTTAAAAAAATGTGCTCTTATCAACTATTTCATCTGGCATCATAAAGGCACAGCAGACTAAACTTACTCAAGTGCTTATATTGCCAAGTTAAAAATTTGACAGTTAAACTTGTTTCGTTTGCCAGCAAAGGAAAATAGTACACTACACAAAATCATGTATTTTCATTTTTATCACACTGTTTTATAAGGAAAAAACACAAACCCCCAAACTAGTATCCATTTATTTCCTTTCAAGACTTGTTTTCCTTTTTTTGGGCTCACTAAGTAGGTTTCGTTTGAGTTATTTTCTGGTATTATCAAGCCATTTATGAATTTTACACTTTTATAAATAGTATTAACTTTCTTTTTATACAGCTTCTCAGACTCTGTCAGTAGATAGTTTATCACTCGGTAAGCTTTCAAAGTTAGCCAAGTTATCATCATTGCTGGCTTTTTTGGGATCTTTAATAGAGAAAATGGTACATAGGGGTAATTAAGCAGCTAATTAACTTTTGTATAGTATAAAGTCTCTGTCCACACTGAGATCAAGCATGCTCTATCCTTTCATTCTTTCTAACCAGATTAACATCTTTGCTAATGCATGTTGAAAGACCTTTTTAACTGCTTTAATATTTGACTTGTAGCTTGTCTGCTCACATAAATGCTTGCTGTGGAGAAAGTATTATTTCCCCACTTCCTGCATGCTTATACACTGTAGGTTATAAATGAAGTGGAGAAAGCACCCAAAGAGCTGAGAAAAGAGCTCATGAAACGCAGGAAAGAGGAGCTTGCACAAAGCCAGCATGCTCAGGTAACAGCAGCCAGCTTACTGCTACTAAACAGAGAGCGCTCAGCAGCCTCTCGTAGCTCAGTGAACCATGGTGGAGAGGGCCAGTCTTGACTGCAGTTAATGTCTGATGTTGACGTCTTTCCATTCCCAGGAGCCCAGGATGTCCTTTGTGTAGTACTAACTTTATACTAATGGTGACAGTTAGGGTGCTAATATGAAAATAAATGGAATACTGACTCCAGATGAAATAAACATGTTAATAAACACTGTGCTCTGATCTCATGAGAGCTTATATTTTTAAATAGCAATGCTACTGGTTGATAGAAGACTTTTAGAGCAGAAAAATAGAGGGTGAGTATATAAGCATTGTGCCTATGAAAAAATACTGATTAAAAGGCCATTATTTCTATTCAGCTCAAAGTTAGAAGAAAAATGGTAAAAAGTAACCTTAAGTGGTAGATCCCATTTCTGTACTTCTAAACCTGATTATACATAAAAAACCCTAAAACCAGGTTTTCAAAGAGAAAATGATTTTTATTTTGATTCAGAAGTGTAAATAACATAGCAGCTGTATGAATAGGCTGTGCATTTTTGTTAAATAAAAATGCTAGGTATGACACAGTTGACGAGCATGGGTGAATTATTTATAATACTACATATAATTAGTAATTTTAACAATATTCCAGAATTGTTTCACAGGTTTTTGCAAACATGTTGATAAGGGTGGCTCTTTTAAGTAAGTTTTCAGTCAACCTGGAACCAGAGAGTGAAGAATTAAGTTCTATTTTTAATTAGTATGTCAATGAAAGGATCATAGTTGCTCTGAATTGTCTTTATGACTTAGTTTTACATAGTTTAAAACCAGTTTCCTAGGCTTTTTGGATTTTATAGACCTAATTAACAAAAACCGTTGGCAACCACGTCAATGGGAGAATATTTTTAACACTGAGAAAAATAAGGAAAATATAACTCAAATTTAAATTCAAACAAAACTTAGTTGACTTGAGTGAAGCCAGATTTTCTTTATTCTGCCATGAACCAATGACAGTTTTTATCTTGACTCAACATGAGAAGTGCTGATTTAATAGCAAACACGACATATGCTATGTTTTAATCACGTTTGTAAATTCTTTATATGTATGAACTCATAATCTCCTGTAAGAAACCTATGCAGTGGTTCCTCTTACTGTATCACTCCTAGTTTACTGATGAGGGAAGCATAAAGGTTGAGTGACTCTGTCAAGGTCACATTCATGGTAGAGCCAGAATTGGCATGCAGGCAAGTTTAGCTCCCAGGTCTTAGGTGAGACCACTACACTATGCTGACTGCCTCTCATGAGAGTTAAACTAACTTCTCCAGACCTACTCTAAGGTATTCTGAGCTTGGTGACTGTGTCTTGTTAATAGGCGATGAAGAAAGAAGTCCTTGCTGGCCACCACCTACTTTTGGGCCATGTGGATTTTAAACCAGATAATAAAAGTGGAGTTTTAACTTTTAAAGAAATAACGTTTTTTTTCTTTTTTAACTCCAAAAGGTTACTGTATCAAACTCTACAGTTGAATTTGAATATCTCGTTTTGAATGGGTTAATGATCTTATAATTTAATAAGACTTTGTTGGTGGTTTTCATGTAATTTGGGGGCTAACCTGTATTTTCCAACTAAATTTCTTTCTTGTAAATTTAATAAGGAATTTAATTTAAAAAATATCTCTGATTGCTGCTTTTGATGAAGGTGCTAAAACTGGATAACTTTATAGAGTCCATTTAAAACTTTTCTTTTGAAAATTCATAAATCACAGCTGTGTAATCTTGGAGCTAGAATATGTCTGGTCATCTAGCCCAGTGTGTTTTCACACTGTACTCCCGGAGGCGCTTGAGTTTGGGGAAAATGTCAGGGTTGCTGCTCCTTCTTCGACTAAAGCAGCAGCCCTTTTTATGTTTTCAGAATGGGGACTTTATTGTTGCTGTTGAGTTTTTCAGAGGAGGTTCCGCTGGTTGCAAACTAGTGTGGAAACTCCAGATCTAATTCAAGTCCTTCATTGTACAGATGAGAAGGAGGCCTCCCCTCTTAAGTGATTTCTTCCAGGCCTCAGGACACTCAACATTTGTGTAATTATTCTTTCTACTTACAAAAAGTCATCAGATATATTCTCACCTGGGAGGTGCATTGTATTCTGCTCCACAGGGTGTTGCTCAGGTCATGATTCAGTCTTTTCAGTTGTCATCTTGTGCAGTCTTCAACGCCCCCCAGATTCAGGACGTAAGTCCCTTGTGCCCTGGGAGGATGCCGTCTACTGCTTTTTAAAACTGCTTTTCTTCAGCTCACATGTGCCTCTTCATTGTTGCCTCCATTTGCTCAAAGCTAGGAAGTGGATAGATGATGGTGCCAGAGGGGGCAGAAATGGTCATGCTCTGACGCTAATTTTATAGTACAGTGGCCTTCAAAGAGTTGCCATGGTCACCAGCTCCTACAGGGGTGGAGCATATCCATTTTACAGAGGAAGAAATTAAGGCACAGAAGACTAAGTGACCTGCCTAAACCATGCAGAGGTCAGTGGTAGAGATGGAACTGGAACACTTCTCGGACAGTGTTCTCTTGTCTGCTCTGCCACAGAGTTTTCATTTGTGATTTCCATCATTCTCAAGAAAAGTAAACTATTTCCCCAGTGGTGGTTTATAAGTTCTGCACATGTGAGAAATTGAATGCTGTGATTAGATTTTAATCTTGCTGTGAAGTGACATTTGATTGCATATATGTTTATGTAGATGTCTTAATTATGGATATGGTCAGAAAAGCCATATTGAGTGTGCTGATTTTCATTCCATTTAACTCTGGTTCACATTTATTCAAATTCTCAATAATGAATAGTGAATTTCTATTTTCCTTACTGTCATTTTAAATTAAGGTTGGAATTCCAGGCTGTATTCTTTCTCACAGTTGCCATAGGGAATTGACTAGCTAATTTAACACTAATTTTTGTTTGTGATGTTTGGCATAGACAACTGGAGTAGATAGAATACAGCTTGATTTCAACCCCTCCTCTCCCTTCTCCTGAAATTAAGTTTTTATTTTTTATTATTGGCAGCTGTTGCCCTCTTAATGTTTTCTAAAAGAGTAAGCAAAATACTGACATTTTTTGAGAGGGAGAATTTACAAATTACGATTGCTTTTCTGATCATAACCATTTTTAGTTTTTCTTTTACTCTTAAATGATTAAATTCTGTACAAATAACTCTGCTTTTGGTTTTCTAGAAACCTAAGTAATATTTTTAACATTGATAGTTATCTGATTAATATAAAGTTAATATTAAATTCTTTATACTTGTACATTTAAAGGGCACTCACTTTAAAATGTGTGTGTCTATTTGAAAAATAACTTTTGGTCTTCGTAGTTTGGGTTCTTTTTTTTTCTGTCTTTAATTTTTTCCCCCTTTGTGGTCAGATTCATCTGTTGCCTTTTTGTTTTTATTTTTAAGGACAGTGATAATTGCTCAATCTCTTTGGAATGTAAGCTCTCTTTTATTTTCATTACTCCTACGGGTAATTTCTAATTACACATTCCAGTGTGAACATATTGTACTTGAGTTTTGATGTTGAAAAAATTAATGGGAACTCAGTAATAGCAAACTTTATTTTTTTTTTACATTATGAAAATATATTAACTAGTATGAAAAAATCAGGTAAATTTTAGATTTTATATGAAATCTAAGTCACATTTTTTGTGACTGACTGCATAAGTCAGTCAGACTCTGTCTACATGTTCCAGACCATAGCTCTACACAGTGTTAGGAAGAACTTCCACAGGCCCACCTGGCCTCCGACCAGTTGATCCCTATTTTGTTGCCGGAGTAGCATCCTGCTGGCTCTACCTGCTTCTGTAGGAGGCTTTTAGCTTTTCTGTTCTCTGTGCATTAGCTATTCCATAACACAATTCCTTGGTTATTCCACTCACCTATTGTGAGACATAGTCTCTCGACGCTTGATTCTCAGTTTTTGAACATAAAAAAGCTTGATACTAAGGGCACACCACTGTGTGAGGGCCGACAGACAGAAGTACTCGGGACCAATAATGTATGTACTCCTGGAAGGAAAAAAATCGATATTCACTTCAGTAACCCCTGTACTCAAGTACAGTGTCCAGTGTGTGCTAAAACCTAATAAAGGTTTTCTTTGAACTAAACTCTTCCCTCTCTTACAAGGAGCCCAGGTGGCGTAGTGGGTTATGTGTTGGGCTGCTGTCCTCAAGGTCAATGGTTCGTAACCACCAGCTGCTTTGTGGGAGAAAGATGAGGCTTTCTACTCTTGAGAGTTATGGTCTCAGAAACCCCCTAGGGACAGTTCAACCTGCCCTTACACAAGGACATGGGTATCTGTGAGTTGGCATCCACTCAGTGGCAGTGAGTTGGGGGTGAGTTTTGTCTCCCCAGTCTTACTTCAGACATAGGTATAACAATGTGGCCAGAATTGCACTCACTCATGTAGCGACTCTGGTTTGCGTTTACCTTTTTAATTTTCATATGATGTTGTTACTTTTGCCCTTGATTCCATTAATCCTCAGTGTAAGATGTGTTTCTGCTGATTAAGTTGGACCCAGATCCTTGTTTACATAGATTTGTTTTTGTTGTTGTTTAATCCTGAATACAATGGTAAAATATTAAGCAAAATTTGATATCTTTAATTTATTAAACAAGTCTACAAGTAGAAATTTTGCAGCAACTTTAGAGAAATAATTATAATTAAAAACACTGTAAGAAAAAAGACAATATAGAGACACTTGAAAAAGTATTTTTATTATAATGACTTAAACGATAGGCCTAGAGGTGTTGTAGCTTCTCAAATAAATTCCTGAAGCCCTCACTCAAATTCAGATCCATTGATCTGATCAATTGATTAATTGAATTTAAATAGTCATGAGATTTCTTTGGCTGTGGTAAAATTACAGTGAACCCTCGTTTATCGCGGTTAATCGGTTCTAGACCCTACCGTGATAAATGAAATTCCGTGAAGTAGGATTCCTTATTTGTAAATCAAATATTTTCGTAGTTAGAGCATAGAGGACATGAAAAAACACCCTTTAGTCACCATTACACTCGTATTACCCAATTTATTAAGCGAAAAAGGGGAAATACAGTAAAACATTTTGGACGTTACAATTATCATTTATTATTTATTATATTATTTATGGCATCAAGCGTGTACAGTATGAGCCAATCAGTGGCAGTAATGACAGAGCATGCGCTGTTACGCAAAAACCGCCATAGAGTGAAGCCGCGGAAGTCGAAGCGCGAAGTGGCGAGGGTTCACTGTATATAGGTGACTATCGTCAAGTGGATGATCTTACTTTATTGAGGTAATTTGTTGGTCTTTTCTTTTACAACTTCTTATACTTTTATTATTTATGCTAAACTACTACTGACGTGCAGGGGAGGTAATTTTGTGAAGGCAGATCCTTCAGCAGGATGCAAGCAACCTATCTGGCCTCCCCAAACCCTGTACCACATTAGACTAGTGGCCACAGAGTTGGTGGTGACTCCTGGCCATGCCACGGGTGCAGGTAGAACTGCGAAGTTTCCAGGGCAGTGACCTATCTTCCACGGCACCTTGGGATCAGTTTGAACTCTAACCTTTAGTCCATTGCTCACCCATTTGCGTCAGGCAGCGACTCCAGGCACCGTGTAGTGAGGCAGGCATCTTGAGGAGCGTACTAGCCTCACTCCCTGGTAAAGACAGCAGATAGTGGTCCAGACCCTAGTGGCCATGCCCGAGTCTTAAGACGAGGTCTAAAATGGGGCTCGGGGTTCCCTTCTCTTGGATGTGTCAGAGGAAGGATTAGGGGGTCGGGGGGTGGTTCTGCTTCAACCCTAAATTTCCAGATCCAAATCAATCGAATATCTCTTAAGCTAATCACAGACCTGTGTAACTACCAAGAGATGAAGGGAGATCCAAATATTGATTGGCTAAATGTACATTTTTTTAATTTGGGTATTTTTTTCCTTCTATAAATATATGAGCTAGCAGAAATATCACAAGTCACTTTAACTTTTCCTTTTCTTACAAAATAAGTTGAAGGAAATGGTTCTAAATATAATATTGTCCTTTGGGCAAATAATGTGCAAATTCTTGTGGAATGAACGAGTGATTCTGGGAGTATAAGGAACTTTATGGACAGAATTGTAGTATGTAACTTGTCTTTCCCCAGCTCACGTTTTTCTTGTAGTCCTGTTCTTTCTCATAAATCCTCAAGTCACTTTTCTCCTTTTAGATGCAGTCTATCTAGAGAGGAAGCTTCCTTCCTCTGTGACTGTGACCATGATGTTTCTTCCGAATTCTTTGGTCTGAGAACAATAGCAAGTTTGAAATTGTGATACCTTTTTTACTTTTTAGCTGCTTAAAAAGTAAAAGTTACTTTTGCCTTTTTCCCTAAAAGGCATTTGTTGTTTATTCTAGTTTTTACCAAACCCTAGTGGAATAAGTATCTAGTGTTTGAAGCCGTACGTGTATTATTTCCCCAAAGATGCCAGTGGAATAGGTGTTTTAGTTGTGAGTGGGATAGAGATTTCTTTTGTGTATGTCATTTCTAGTAGTACATTTAGAATATTAAGCATGATCAGTCTTTATTTTTCTGGGCTTACTTTGTAACTGATACATTTATGTTATCTAGCTACTATATAATTTGATGATTTCTAAAACCAGTAAATTTTACAAACTTGGCTTGATAATCTTGCTAGTTCCTAGTATGTACAGTCGCATAGATACATGGCTGTTTATGCATACTGCTAACTTATGATTACTTTAATAGGAACAAGAGTTTGTTCAGAAGCAACAACAAGAATTGGATGGCTCGTTGAAAAAGATCATCCAACAACAGAAGGCAGAGTTAGCCAATATTGAAAGAGAGTGCTTGAATAACAAACAACAGCTCATGAGAGGTATAGTGTACATATATAAAATGGTAGCTAAAAAATACTGCCAAGATGTAACTTGGACTTTAGTTAAATATTTTCTTTGCCATAGTTGTGGTGAGTAGAATAAAGAAAGTGGTGGCAAATAAGAGAAAAAGGTTGAAGAAATAGAGTTGCTTTATGCAAAATATAGAATGATTTCATGACTGTTGAAATGAACAAAAATATATAATCGTTAAAACATCTTTTCCAGAGGAGGCTAGACATGTGCTTGAATGACTTTGTGTACTTTATCATGCCCGGTCATTGTTGGCATACTTAATGTTACAGTGTAAAATGAGACCTTCAGCACTACTTCCCCTAACAATTTTGCTTGGCTTATTTTCTTTCTCATTAAGACGTTACATGGAATCATGTTGGAGATGGGGCATTCATTGCTTATGGGAAGTTAGGACAGAATGGAAAGTAATAATAGCTACTCATACCTTTACATCGGTCAAGTTTTGTTTATGGCTTAGAATGTCAGTGCATGTATAAATTAGTATACATAGAATACTGTTCTTTAAATATCAAAATAAAGCCCCAAAATGTCTTAGTGAAAAGTGCAAAGTGACGACTGAAACCGTGCTCTCCTTCCAGCACGAGAAGCTGCAACTTGGGAGCTGGAAGAAAGACACTTACAGGAAAAGCACCAGATGCTCAAACAGCAGCTTAAGGATCAGTATTTCATGCAGAGACATCAACTGCTTAAGCGCCACGAGAAGGCTAGTGCAAGGAAAATTGTTTGTTCTTTTGTCATTTTAAAGATTGCAAAATAGTTTGTTTCTTAGAGAATTTTAAATTTCCCTCATGTCTTCTTCTATTCTGATGTTTTTTCTGACAAAGATTAGAGCAGCACATTGTATCGGGATCTTTCTATACGTTATAGGGAAGATGTCAATTACAGTGCTTAAAGCCCTCTTCCACAGTGTGATTGATCTTCAACTCGTTTCTCAACAGGAGCTAGTTTGGTACCACTTATGGCTCAAGTATCTTAAAAATCGAGATTCCTTGTATTTAATAAAAAGTAACTAATTTAAGACTTTTAGCACTAGCAACATTTTTCTCGTAATTTCCTTTTTGCATTGATATTTTAGTTGTCACTACAAAAAGAGAGGGGCTAGTTTGGGGAAACAAAAAATTATGCGTCTGAGTATGCTTGTTTGTACGGAGTATTAAATTCTGTCTGCCTCACTGAACTGTGTAAACTTCCTCAGGAAACAGAACAAATGCAGCGTTACAATCAACGACTTATTGAGGAATTGAAAAATAGACAGACTCAAGAAAGAGCAAGACTTCCCAAGATTCAGCGCAGTGAAGCCAAGACTCGAATGGCCATGTTTAAGAAAAGTTTGAGAATCAACTCAACAGCCACACCTGATCAGGACCGTGAGAAAATTAAACAGGTAAAGAAAGAAGTAAACTCCTGTCTTCTCTTCCAGGCCTTAAAATGTCTGGTGTTTTTAGGAGTACTACATAACTTGTGTTGTAAATCATCAGCGCCACCTCAGCCTCATTGATGTGCTAGGGCTAGATAGATGGCAACCACCAACGGCACAGCCATTCTTCAGTGCCTCGACCAGAATCTGGTGTGAGGCCAGCCCGGGAATGAGATGGCTCGGACACTTTTCAGGAATCCCGTGAGTTCATCCTGGTGCTTCTCAGTCCCAGGCCCCAGGCCCCAAACACAAATGAAGTAGTGCAGCATCTGGATTTTAATCACATGTTCTCCCTGAAGCCATGGTGTAGACTCCAGCTTTGCATAACAGCACATTATAATTGACAGCTTTAGTTTCTTGTACTGCAAGTTTTGTTCAGTTTCTCAATTTCATGTTTGGAATATGAACAAATAATTTATCCTTTGCTTTTTAAAAAATTGTATAGTTTGCGGCTCAAGAAGAAAAGAGGCAGAAAAATGAGAGAATGGCTCAGCATCAAAAGCATGAAAATCAGATGCGGGATCTCCAGCTACAGTGTGAAGCTAATGTTCGAGAACTGCATCAGCTGCAGGTGAGCTAGATCAGATGCCTGGGGCAGGCTCGCGGGGTGGGGGTGGGACGGGGGGTGTGGGAGGTGGTGAGGGCTGGCAGCCAGGCAGCTGCACATTCTTTGTGAAAATGCTGGGATGTAAGGCCAATAGTCCTGTGTAGACCCCAGAAGGCCAGTTGCAGTATCAGAGGCACTCGCTTCGACTATGTTGTGCCCATGGCTAATGTAAACAGGGAGCCAAATTATGGTCTGAGAAATCGGGTCTGCCAAAAGCAGGAGTGTGTGATTTTTAAACATATTTTGATAAAAAGATAAGAGTTTTCAAAATAAAGGAGGCAATTTTGTTTTCATTCTGAATTATAATATTTTTTTAGAGAGTGATGGCTCATGTTCTCTTAGGGTTTTGAAAATAAGATGAACTAATATATGAGGGGGCTTCAAAACCTTTGTGGAAAATTGGAATTTTTGATAAACTTTTTAAAGCCCCCTCATCTATGAAGTTTTGAAGGTTACTTTTAAGAGGGGACCCTTTTGAACCCTCCTGGAGCTTACTTTCTCCTTAGTACTTGGCCTAAAATGTTTCAAATTTCAGAAGTCGTAAAATTAGTGAAGACATTATGGGTATTTTATATACTCATTTACTAACTGATTCCACATTTTGGTTCTAATGTATAAAATGCATGCAAGCTATCTTCTGTTTGTTTGTTATTTACAAACCCCTGTGTACAGGCCTGACTTTCAATAGATTGCAGCGAGGGAGCTGCTCTGCTGCATATGAAACCCGAGCCAGAAGCAGGTCGTCTACAAATGGTTTAGTCCCAGGTTCCCCACGAACGTGCGGTTCGTGATGGGCTAGGGGGCTGCCGCCTGTCTGGCCGGGGCCGGTTTCCCGGGACGAGGGGCACCAGCCCCTGGTCTTGACACCGAGGTGGGCATGCGTGCGGCCCACCGGCCCTCGGGGACGGCCGGGGCTGGCTCTGCCGTTTTCCTCCTGGGCGGGATGCAAGCTATCTTCTAAAAGTATTAGTGTTATGAACACACTGCCTTAAGGCACAAAAGGACTCTAGTTGTTTTTTTTAATCATTTTTTGGGGGGCTCTTACAACTCTTGTTATAATCCATACATCATTTGTATCTGACATATTCGTACATATATTCCATTGTTCTTTCCTAAACATTTATTTTTCATTGAGCCCTTGGGATCAGCCCCTCTTCATTTTCCCTCCCTCTCCCACCCCAAGCCCTTCTGACCCCTTGATAGATTATAGATTGTTAATTATTTTCAAATCTCACATCCACGCTGTCTCCCTTCCCCTCTGATTTCTGTTGCTCTTCCCCCTGGATGGGGTGTGTGGTGATGTGCATCCATTGCAGTCGGTGCCCCTCCCTCCCCCTCCTCTATCCCCCTCCCTACCCTTTTGTTATCTCTGTTCCCATTCCTGTGCCTGGGGTCCCTGTGCTGTGAGTTTTGTCTCTTGCCTACACCTGTGTACATGCTCCCGTCTAGTCTAGGCGGGAAGCGGCACTGGGGTCTTGATAGCAGGGGGTGGGGTGTGAGTGGGGGTTAGGGGTGGTGAGTGGCGGTGGTGGTGAGGAGGCTTCAAGGGATCAGAGGTATATTGCTTGACCCCATTAGTGCTCTACAGTACCCTGATTGACTCATTCCCTCCCTGTGACCCCTCTGTGGCAAAAGGACTCGTATGTAAGTTGTTTTTAAATAGTAAGTGATAGATGTCAATTCTGAACTTGCAAAAGTGAAGTTATGACTCATTTAATAATTCTTGCTCTTTGGATTTCAGAGGACAACTTAAATCTCAGTAATAGCTTGATGAGCAATTTTTTGTTTTGGAAGATAATTTTAATTGTGCAAAGTTCCTCAGTTGATCTAAAATTTGTTTTAATTCAAATTTTATTTTCAGAATGAAAAATGTCACCTATTAGTTGAGCACGAGACCCAGAAACTAAAGGAGTTAGATGAGGAACACAGCCAAGAGTTAAAGGAATGGAGAGAGAAGTTGAGACCTCGGAAGAAGGTGATGTTAACAGCTTTAACTCTGATTTTATGTTGCCACGCATCTGTCTCTTCACCCCGGGCTCTCCCACTGGCACCTTACTACATAGGTGTCAGGTGGAGGAGATAGAGGGATGAGAAGAAGACCAAGTCCCCCAAAGGCTCAGAATCGCATGACAAGAAATTACAAACCTGTTAGATCGTTGCTGCCAAGGAGAACAGCTTAAGAGTCTGGGGGAGGAGCACACTGTACAAGCAGAGGAGGAGGAGTGCCTACACGTGTCTGGGATGCTAAGGAAAGCTGGAGAGGAAAGGCCTTGTCAGCCAAGTGAGGCTTGAAGGATGAACAGGAGCTCACTAGGTAGACAGGCAGGTTGAGTGGGGGTGGGGGGTCTTAAGTAGAGGGAAAAGCACGAGTGGAAATGAAGGTGACGCGCAAAGAATTGCGAGTAGTTCCCTAGAGTTGTGTGTGTCTGACTAGGTATTAGAGAGGGAATGATGAAAATTTAGGCTGGACTGGTGGGTTAGAGTCAGATTTCCGTGACCCTGGCATGCCAATTGGATTTACTCACTCAAAAACTCACTGCCATCAAGGGGATGCCAACTTAGTGAGCCTTTAGGACGGGGTAGAACTGCCCCTGTGAGTTTCTGAGACTGCATCTCTTCACGGGACTTCCTCCTGTGGGGCAGCTAATGGTTTTGAACTGCTGACCTTGAGGATCGCATCCCACTGTGTGATCACTATGTCACCAGTGCTCCTAATTGGATTTGTAGTGTAGTAAAATAGGGATCTTATCCATCCATCCATCCATCCATCCATCCATCCATCCATCCATCCATCCATCCATCTCCCCTGTTTGCTCTTGACTCCCTCCTGTCTGGTCTTACTGGGCACCCTATTGTCCTGATCCTTTTGTTAACCCTCAAATTAAGCCCTGTTTTTCTTTTGGGTTTCTTCCCCTCTTGTGCATTTCAAGTATTCCTTTCTTCTAGTCAGCTAATCTACCAATCAAAGGAATATGCGTTGAGCCCCTGCCAAGTACTAAGAGTTTATAAAGGAAATGCAATGAATAAGTTGACAGTGTATCTTATGGATTTCATTCATTAAAAGAATTGGGGGAGGGGGGAATAGAAAGAGGCTTCAAAAGTTTCAGGAAAAATTCCATTTTCTTGTAATTCCATTTTTCCATGGGGTTTTTGAATTAATGCATTCATGTGGTTCAGAATAGAAACGGCATGAAGGGATAAACCGTGATCACTTCCTCTCTCGAGTTTTTCTCTTAGCTCCTTGCATCTTAGCTTTCATCCCAAGTGCCCAACTCCACATGCCGCAGTGGCCACGGGTGAGCTGATCATAGCCAAATCCTGTGGCCGTCCTGCAGAGACCTGAGTGGGCCTTGGCTTAGTGTCAGAGGCATCGTTGTTTCTTAAACATCTCGTTTTGTCTGGCTTTTGTACACAACGCTGCTCTTTTTGTGTTCTTAGCCCTTTTCTCTTTATTCTCTAGTCCCTGGACATGCAGACCTTCCCCAGCTATATGCCTCACCCTGTTTCTTGGGTGGACTGGAAGCTGGTCATCAAGGCGTTAGCTGTTGTATATTTAGGGACAGCAAGGATCGCGTGGAGCACAAGTTCTAGAACCATGCAGTTCTGGGTTCTGATCTCATTGTTCCCGTCAGTGATTAATTTTGTCACTTAGCAGTCTGAGCCCAGTTTCCCTCGTTTGTAAAGCGAGGACGACGTGGCCTGCCTAACCGAGGCCCAGAGTTTTACAAAGTGAAGCTTATTCCAGGCCCCGAGCCATAGTCGGCATTGGTTGAGTTGTTGCAGCGGTTTTTACTGTCTTTTTTTATTATCGTCATTTCAGGCGCTAAGATCACATTTTCCAACTGTATGTTCCATTCCATAGCACTTCATTTAGGCCTCTGTGCAAAAATCTCGTCAAAGCTTCCTTTTCTGCTTGCTATCTGTAGCCACCTAAAACTATCTCCTTAGCGTCTGTTTCTCTTCATAGCAGTCATCACAGCATGCATATTTGTTTCTTGTTTGCCTTCTTTCGGCTCTCTCGTTCACTAGTGTGTAGCCAGCTGGTGGCACAGGTCCTGGCACGTCATAAAGGATCAGTGTATCAATGCACGCTTGGTTAGTGTTGACTGAGAATGGAAACTCAGTGGTGATGAAGCCAACTTCTACACTTCCCTTCTTCGCCTCACCCCACCATCATTCCTGCTCTCTTAATGGATATTTAGGTTAGAAACTGGAACTATTTCTTATTTCTACCACACCTTTTGTTCAGTCAGGTGCCAACTAAATTGGACTCTCCAGAAGATTTTGCTTTCTTCTCAGTTTCCCATTGTTTTCTTGCTGTTCACTAAGACCCTCATAGACCTCTGGCCTCTAGTACCCTCCCTGTCCAGCTCCTCTCGGGCTAGTTATTACCAAAGTACTTCTGCGCAGGAGCAGCTTGGTAATAGCACGGTGCTGAAGCTCCATTTCCATCAGAAAAAACCTAAGGAGGCGCCACTCCGTCGCTCGCTTCATCAGACCTTTTCTCTTCGCTGTCTGTGCCACAGCCGCGGAGCTAGTCACCGTTGCAGACACCAGCCCTGTGGTCACTCTCCGAGCTCTTCCTCTGGCATGCCTTCCGCAGCCTGCCTCTAGAGTTCTTACTCTCTTCCTTTGAAAGGTGAGCTTGGTTTTCACCTCGGTGGAATCTCTCCATCCTTCCATCTCCTCTCATCCTCTGTTTGCACCTCTGTACCTGCACTTATCCTTAAGTCACTTGTCCAGAAAGTCACTGGAAAGGCAAATAGATATTTTAAGCACTAGTATTTGTTTTGTACAATTGGGATGTAAAGATAAGTCTGGTTTAGGTCTTACCTTCAAACAACTTAGAGTCTGGTGTGGGAAGAAAAAACTTGCATGAAGAGTGTCCAGTGCCACATAGGTGCCCTGAGGAGTGCGCATTGTTACCAGGGGTCCTCACGTCGCAGCCCTTTGAAGCTAGTGGTAGTGCCCTTCTTTTACAACAGAAAAGTGGAACAGTGTTTTGATACAGAACATTAAGTAATTATCTCCCAACTCTCCATTCATAAAGGAGCCTTGGGGGCTATGTTTTTACTATCAGTTCAAATGCCACCATTTTCTCTGAAGATGTGGCAGTCTCCTATGCAGAGAGTACAGCCTTGGAAACCAGGTGGGATCCTGGTATTCTGTCTATAGGGTCGCTCTGAATTAAATACATTTGGTGGCAAAGCATTTTTTAGTTCTGTTTCCATGGCTGAATTAAGACTTGAGCCCAGGGCTGTGCCAGTCTGTGGTCTTCACTGGGGAGCAGTCCTGTCTTCCTCAGGGTTGTATAAGAAGATGTTTGGGGTGAGTAAATTTTTCTCGACTCTTGGTTATACCAGCACATAACATTTTTCCCCCTTCCTTTTTAAGACACTGGAAGAAGAGTTTGCCAGGAAATTGCAGGAACAGGAAGTGTTCTTCAAGATGACCGGGGAATCTGAATGCCTTAACCCTTCTACACAGAGCCGGATTTCCAAATTCTATCCTATCCCTAGCTTGCATTCCACTGGGTCATAACAATGGGGAGCTTCTGTGATTGGGTTTGGCTTTTTAAAAGGTGTCATTCTCTTCTCTTCATCTTCTGCCACAGTCTTATGTCAGATAGCTCATGGAGACAATCACCTGCCTCACCTTCAGGGTGTTTTTCATTTGTTTGTTTGTTTGTTTTAAAGCAGAGATGAAGGGAAAGGAACTAAGACAGATGCTGGGCCATGTTGGCAGTGTGGCATCTTGCAGTAATTCCCTAAGGTGATTCTGTATAGTAACCTGGAAACTTTTGTTCTATAGACACTGTTACTTGAGAAATTATCTGAGAAATAATATTTAAGGTTGTGGAAAAAAACCCCAAACAACCAAAAAAACCCAACTGTTACATCACTTAGTATCAATAAAAGATCTTTTTACCCGACCTGCTGTCTCAACGATGCCTAAATTCTGTAGCAGAAACTGCTGCTGAGAGTTGGACTCAGTTTCCCTTGCGACTAAGCTCGGAGTTGCTCGAAACATGCTATTCATTCAATAAATAAAGATACTTTATCTCTAAGCATAGAGGCAGACACTTAAGAGAAAACCTGTCTTATTAATTTGTCTAAAATGATTACCTGTTTAATCACGCACTGATAATTAAAGGTGCTAGTTTTGCTTATAGAATTATTGTGCCCACTGTGGTTAATTTACATCAAGGTTAAGGAGGATGTTCATTTCGGATTCAAAAGAACACACGCTTACCATTAAACATGTCTGGTTATTTTAAAATATTTTGCTCTTATTACTGTTTGATAGAAATTTACACCCCAAAATATACATTGTACAAAGTTTGGGAATACGAACAAGAGAAGGGTGACTTTTGGATGTCCACATGGGAAATGTAGGCTCACAAATTAAAAGTGATGTAGCTTTAGCTGTATGTCGTAAATCCTCTTCTGACTGGGTTAAATGACTTTCCCCACCTTAACACATTTTCTATATTGAGAACTTTCTCAGAGTTCTGCAGGCTCTGGGTCATATCTATAAATGTATGTCATGAAATTAATCTAAAGAGCATTTGCTGAGAATTTTTAAGCTCTGTATTTAAGTGAAGTATTTAGACAGATGTTCGAAATGGCTTTTTGTTCTTATTTCAAAATGAGGTCACTTATACTTTCTTCCAAGTTTAGATAGTTTACTGTGATTTGAACGGGAAAAGTCTGAAACCTTTATCATGGTGTTGCCGCTGCATGCATGAGTAATGAAATGCTCACTCTTCTGCCTTCCTGAGGCTTAGAGTCTCAAGCATGTGTCAGGTCAGACAGTGTTAACACCAAGCATACTTAGGTGTGTGTGACAGCTCCTTTGTGAATGATGCCTACTGCCTCGCCTTTGCTCTCTGTCTCCATGTAAGCGCTGGGTACCACATTGCACACATTTTGTTCTTAGTTACGTTACAATGGAGGCCAATGAAAAATTGAAATGTGACTGGGAACGCTGATCTGTTCGTATTGAAATGTCGTTGTTGAGAGCACTGTCTTACTGTTCATTGTAAAACTCTGGATGCTGGAGCTTATTTTGCCAGTGATTTAGAGTATTTGAAAAGTCATGTGTGGTTTTAATTTTGTAATTGCTTTTGATAAGCTTAATTCACTTGGACAACTTTTGTAGCTGGCCTTAATTTCTGGCCGTTTAAAAATATATATAAATATATATATACACAGATCTTATGTATTATTGTAAAGTCTTACACAGCTCATGGATATGCTTCTGTACACATAACCCTGTGTATGCTCTATTCTCCAGTGCTGGGTTGAAAATCGTGTTGAAAGCCTTTTAAAATATATATATCTTTTAAAAGTAATATTCAGGATGATGATGGAAAGTGTTTATATTGTCACGGTAACAATGATGGCATAATGCTGCCCGGTGTACTTAATGATTTCATTAGGGAGGGGGAAGGGAACATTTCAGTTCCATTGGCTTTTTAAAAATGAGTATTTTGGGCTGTGGACATATTTTTTCAGGACCGTTTCCGTGAGCTCTTCCATGCTAAGTCATTTGACCGGAAGATTTCATTCTTTCTGTTTTTTTCACCTTGACATCATGATTGTTGAGTACAGTGGCCAGGCCCAGAGTGACAGCTGACACTCAGGGTAAGTTTTATCCACGGCTCGTCTCCCTTCAAACTGCCCGTTAAATTCAGTGTTCACACACACGTTCTCTTTCAAGTATGACATATGTATTCATGTGTGTGGGGGCCTCTATGGTGCCACACACATAGAGGTGAAACACTCACTCACTGTAATACTTTCCAAAACGTGTTTTCTTACCAAATATGCTGTTTGTCCCCATCCCTGCCCACCTCTTGCTCCGCTCTCTTATGAGGTAGATCAGTGACCGGTCTTGGTGTAAGTGGGCACAGGGGAGAGGGACACAGACTTCATTGACATCTAAGAGAGCAGGCAAGTCCCACCTCGATGCGGTGGCGTTTGCGGCTGTATGGCAGCAGGTGCTAGGAGAGTCCTAAAAGGCAGTCTCCCTCTGAGCACCTGACGCCTGTCTCCCTTCTCCTCCCGAGTGCTGTGAGTTCCCCAGCCCCTCGGGCCAGCTTGCCTTTCCTAGTGCTCTCCGCTCAGAGCTGGCTGTGAGGCTGGATCAGCTGCTACTCTCCTAGAGTCAGGATTAAGCTGCTGCCGACCCTTTCCTGTAGGGGAGCCATAGGGTGGGGAAGGCAGAACTGTAGAATGCTTATCTTTGCCGAAAACAGTCGGCCCGCCCTGTGACAGAATACAGCAAATTGTAATAAACTGTAACCCAGAACCAGAGCTACCTCTAAGTAGTGTTTCCTCAAGCACAAAGCTCTCAGGCACACGAGACCCACTTTAGGGGAGGGCCTCTGATTTCTTGAGCATCAGCGAGTTTCAGAAGTTACTGTCTTTTGTACTCTTCTAGTTTACTTATAATGACCGCCCCCACCTCCCCATTCCACACTGTGCTTGAATGACAAAGACTCTTCTGAGAAGCCAAATTCTGCCCAGTTATTCCCTGGAGATAGTGTGCATTCAAGAATGACCTAGAACAGGTGGGAGAGAAGCGTGAGTTTCAGTTCTAACGGTCTTTTGAGTTAATGATTGTCTTCCAGAAAAATGATCTGAAGAGAGTGGTATGGTATTTTAAGTGCTTTTATTTTTGTAAGTTGAAGGCACACAGTAGCGCCTTCTGTCGTTGCTCCCCTGGCTGTGGCTGCCGTGTGTCTGATACGGCTTTGAAGTCGCTGCTCCTCGGCGTGGGGTCGATGTTCTCCCTGTCTTCAATGTTGGCTGCAGCTTTCTGTGACCCAACTCAGATTTGCAGTGTAATAACTTTTCACAAGCTGAATTTTCAGAAAGAGTTGTTTCAGATCCTGCCTCTTATCTATCTGGGAACAAACATGTCTTTCCAATCATGAGATTGACAAGTTAAAAATAAAGCTATTTCTTCATGTATTTTGGGAAGCTGTCTTTTCTTGTTAATCTTTGAAATAAATGGTTCTGCACGAGTGCTGCCCCACGGGGTTTCAAGGCTGGGACTTTGGGGAGCTGGTCGCCAATCGTGTCTTCTGGGGCCCCAATAACCAGCCTTTGAGCCAGTGGTGACCCTTCCAGACGTACCAAGTACATACACATGTGCACACACGTAATTTCTACTGGTAACTGGACTTGGGCATGGAGATCCCCTTCTTGGAAGGTGCTGAAGGTATTTCCATCAACCTATGGATATGCATGTTCTTATTTCCTGGTGTTAATTTTTTTTTTCCTCTTGGGATGTATTGTTTTTCCTCACTAAGCACATCACAAACCTTTTGACCCCACTTCTGCCAATGGTTGACCTCTCTCTGTCACCAAAGTACCTCAGACTCAGTGGACGCTAGGCAGCATCATTTGGCAAAGTGCCCAGCTCTGCCCGGAGGAAGGCATGGCGTGGCATTTTCTGATCTGAGCATGGTGCAGGCTCTTGAGCTCATCCATGGCCTTTTGTATTAATGGGACAAAAGAGGCTCAGATCATCCTGGCCAGCTGAGGACAGGTCTGCCCACATCCTCTTTCTGGGTTCTGTCCGGAGAAGGTAGCAGGTTTGGCTTTCTGCCCTGTTTGCCTAAGACGGTGGTTCTCAACCTTTTTAATGCCGCAACCCTTTAATACAGTTCCTCATGTTATGGTGACCCGACCATAAAATTATTTTCGTTGCTACTTCATAATTGTCATTTTGCTACTGTTATGAATCGGGTGACTCCTGTGAAAGGGTTGTTCGACTCCCAAAGGGGTCACCGACCCACAGGTTGAGAACTGCTGGTGGAGGACATAGAATTAGATGAAGGCTATTTGATGCCCTAGTAAGGTAAGCCTAGTAGCTAGAGACGAAGCCATACATCTGGCGAATCCCATGAAGGATCCTTATTAAAGCAGAGAGAGGAGTCCCTGAGCTGCTCAACACAAAAATACACCGGTTCCGACTTTGGGTAGAACGGATGAATTTTATTTGGGAAAACATCATCAAAAAGCATCGTGCATTTAGTTACATACAAGAGGAAGCTTTCATCAGACGATAAGCCAAAGTTGTTCATTTGCAGTAAAAAAAAGGTTTTTGAAATTGTTCAGGATTTATGAACTCATTAGAAATCTCCACATTGGTTCAGAACTCAGTTGCTATCTGGCTATTAGAGCATGTTCGGTGTCTGGCGTGTGAGTTTTCTTTCCCATGGTAGAATATGAGAAAATGCAGGAAATAATTCAATCTTCTAGAAGAACAGTGTAGGAGTAGATCTCATTTGGCCCCAGATTGTAACAAATGGACACGTTGACCAAGTAGAGCCTCATGGTCAGAGTGGCTGATAGTATTATGCGTTTTTTGCCTACCTGTGGGCCATGTCCCCTTAACAGGAGTTTTGATAGTCCATTTATCATGGCTGTATAATTCTCATTGCTCTTTCTGAGGGAACCCCTACAGCAGTTTCACGTCCTCTGACCGCCCGTTTGTTGCTCATATGTTTATTTCCACATGCTCAGGGGAGGCCCTTCAAGTGCTTTGCGGCGTGCCCAGATCAAGTTCGTCCTTGCAGAGAAAGATCTGCCTGTCAAGATCTCCGTTAATAAAATAACAGGAGCAGTTCTGAAACAGAACAATGTTTGCCTCTTTGTGTTTAAAAGAACGAGAGTTGGCGTATGGGCACAATTAGCCCCACTATCTAACGGGCTTAAGAAAGCCTGTGGAGAAATGGAATTAAGAGAGAATGGTTCATTTCCATGAACCTTTTGAAGGCATGTTTGAGTGGGGGGGGGGCGGTTTAGCTTGTTCTTGGCCAGGTATATCACATGAAACACTAAAAAAATTAAAACAAAAAACTTTAATAGAGATTTTTACGCTTGAAATGACTTCCTTTTATAGACCACATACATATGGTTTTAGACATTAAAAAGTGCTTACCAGCTAGCTGTCTGCAGCATCCCATGCCATTGACCCCTTGCAGACAGGGCGACATCTCTACTGATGCCACCCTCCCCCATCAGATGTCCACCCTGCTTTCCTTCCCCATCTCCTTGCTCATTATCCATTGCCCTTCTTTTCCTGTTTGCTGCAGTCTAGCTCAGGATAGCATATCTATAAACTCTAGTACAGGCCTACGTATACACCTCATCGCTACAATCAAACTTCCTAAGCAAGTGGGGTTGGGACCGTGAAAAATAAACCCTGGTACTTCCTATAGGGGAGTAAATTTCTAAACACTTTAAATTCCAAGAGTGACTTACTGACTAACTCTTCCTGTGACTAGAGACTACAGCGTGAACGAGAGGAAGGAGCTGGGACATGGCCTCCCTGCTTTGGGCAGACACACCCTGATCAAGGCCCACCTCTAGGAAGGCCCCACTCTCCCCCACTTCCCATGCCTGAGCTCATGACGCCAAACACCAAACCAAACTCGTGGTCATGGAGTCAACTCGGACTCAAGGGACCGGGCAGGACAGAGTATAACTGCCCTCTGGGTTTCCAAGACTAAATCTTTTACAAGAGTAGAAAGCCGCCTTTTTCTCCCGGAGAAACCTTGTGGTTAGCAGCCTGACGCTTAACTCACTGCACCACCAGGATTCCTCCTGAGCTCATTGATGTAAGCAAAGGCCAGACTGCAGAGCCAGGTTTTAGTAACTAGCTTCCCTAGGCTGGGGCTCGAGCCACGTGTTGGGAAGCCCTCGGAGCGCAGAACTAGATAGCAGAAACGTCTGTCAGCTACATGCTATGCCCACCCAGGGAAGCTGGTGCACAGTACTTATCCTGGCCTGGTTTATATGTACATCTATTTTGTTCCAAACTAAAAAGTGTTGCTAGTTGCCTATTGGGTGGTGGTGTCTCAGTAGAAAGTTGATAGCTTCCGGCTCTAGAGAGAATTTGGCAGAAGCACCATAAGCCATTTCAAGAGTGGGTGGAGGCAGCTGCTCTGCCTGGGGGGCTCAGGGCTTGGTGGCAATACTTCTCCTCCTCCGCCCGACATAGACTTGATCACCTGCAAGTTTAGAGGATGAGGAGGTTGTTAGGACGATGGTGTCAACGGCAAAGGTGACTTGAAAGTAGGTCTTTTGTACGACCATCGATTTGGGCTATTAGATCATTCACCCTTTCATCCCCAGGCTGCTTCCCTCCATTCCTCCTGCTCCCGAAACTCTCCTCCCTCCTGCCTATCGAGTCATGGCACTGGAAGGCAGGTGTGCTCTTGGCAGCGGCTGCCTTCATTGAGGACTTGGGCGTTTGTCTTCATTGTTCACATGAGTGTTCTGGAACACCGCCCCCCCACCCCCACCCCCGCTTCTCTGGAGCACGGCCTAAACTTACCTTTATCTCCTTTTTCTCCCTTTTGTCCTCGAGGGCCGGGTGGGCCAGGCCGCCCAGGTGGTCCTGCCAGACCCCTCTCACCTAGAGCAGACAGGGAGCATGACTGAGCAATGCCCAGAGGTGAAGCCTGCCGAAGGAGCCCAAGAGCCGCACAGCCTGTGAGCACCCTAGTGGCCATTTTCCTGCCACCACTTACCTTTGGGTCCTTGGGTGCCCATCTCTCCCTTCTGCCCAGGGGGTCCTGGAATGGCACCATGAGCTGCAAGGGGTAGGGGGGAAAAAACAAAACAAAATGGCATTGGTGGGAGATGGCCCAGAAGTTGGGGAGGTAAAGAGCTCAGCGGGACAGTGCTAGGAGGTGGTACTTTGGTCACGACAAGGACTACCGAGTAATAGTGATCAGGTTTCCATGATCCCAAGTGTTCCTTCAGGACTCAACGAGATCCTTTCTACACAGCCGGCCTCACTTGAGCCTCGGCATCGAATTAACTCACTGTCATCCATAGAGTCGATGCTGACTCATAGCGACCCCGCAGGATAGGATAGAACTGCCTCGGTGGGTTTCTGAGACCGTGTCTCTTGACAGGAGGAGAAAGCCCCATCATTCTCCGGCCTGGAAGGACTAACAGCTTAGGAAACTAGTTGGGGATGATGCCCTTACTTCGGAAGAAGTCCATGAGGTCCGAGGTCACGTTGGTGTAGGCAGAGAAGACCTTGCTGACTCCAGGGACTCCCTGAGGGCCAGGCCGGCCTGGTGGGCCCTGTACAGTGTAGGCCATCCCTTGCAGCAGGCCCTGACCTGTGAAGTACCAGAGCATGGGCATGGGCAGCGGGCACCAGTGTGGGCCCAAGCAGTGGGGATGGTGCTCTGTGGGACTCCACCGCTTTGCCCATGGTTGTAGTCCCAGGCTGTTCCCAAGCAGCTACACTCCATTAAGCCACAGCCAAGGCAAAGCCCTGCTGGCTCCCTTGTGCTCACTTCCCTGTGTCTGCAGGAGGCACTGACCCAGGGTTCTGAGCCTGTAGCTGGGTGCTGATCAACTTCCTGGAGGCAGGGCTTCTTACCCAGCCACCTTCCCTCTGCCCCCAGCAGACAGCCACCACTGCCACAACCACACTCGGGAGACCCAGGCCTGGGTGCAAAGATGCCCGCTTGCCCACCTCAGGTGGCCAACATAACTGTCTTCAGCCCTTGCCTCTCTGTCCCCAGCCGGGAACTCAGAGCATGAGGAGAGTCTCTGGGACTCTTTAGGGGTTCACGTGCCCCACTTACGCTGCATGCTCTCTGAGACTCGGGCAGCCAGCTCGTTGTAATCCAGAGCTCCTGCAAAGCCAGCTCCGAAGGCGTTGCCACCGCCACCATACAGGCCAACGTCAGTGCCGTAGGGACCCCCATCTTGGGCCCCTGCTCCGAAGACACCCCCCTCACTGGCCCCTCCCATGCTGGCCGAGGAGCTGTAGGAGCTGCTGCTCCGGCTGTAGGAGCCTTCCGATGACAGCAGGCGGCTGTCTCCAGGTGGCCCTTGGGGGCCGGGGGGGCCTGGGGGACCCACGATGAAACTCCGTACATCAGGACCTGCGGGAAGAAGCTGCATTAACAGGGCTCAAGTTCTTAGGGCTCAAATGAAGTACGACTGCCGGGGACATGAAGGGCAGAGTCTGTGTGCCTGGCTGGAGGTGGGGGGCTTGGGTCAAGCCGCTCTGGAAAGCACTAGCCTGGCCCTTCCAGGGACAGCAGTCTGGGCAGGTGCTTGGGGGACACCGGTGCCAGGGGCACCTACTTGTGAGATAGCTAATCAGTTCGCTCCGGAAGTTGTCACTGTTCTCGTTTGCATAGGTCACCAGGGCTCCTGAGACACCTGGGGGCCCTCGAGGACCAGGAGGCCCTGTGGGCCCTGGCGGGCCCGGGATGGACGACAAGCCGGCAGCTGAGTGAGAGAGAAAAGGTACATCAGGCCTCCTCCTGCTGGAGCCCAGGGGACGGGGCCCCTCCTGGGTGGGGTGAGCCTGGAGGCCCCAACCAAGCCCATTTTTCTGGCCCCACGGGGGAGTGACTCCTGGCCAGTCCACCCGTTCCCAATTCTGACCTCCATTCAAACCACATCCCACCACCTCCTGCTGAAGCCCTTGCCCCCAGTTCTCCAGGAAGTGCACTGACAGAGCTGTGTGCATACTGCTCCCCTGCCAAGGCTGGAGCTGTGTGCAATCTCCAGGTGCCCATTTGGTAAATGCCCCAGGAGGACCTGGTGACCTGGAGGGGACGTAAGGTCCCACTCCACTCTGGCTAAAGCCCACGACAACCCTGGAGGGCAGCCTGCGTGTCTCTGCCCTCCACCCTCCGCCTCCTAGCTCCCGGCGCCGTACTGTGCAAATACGATGAGAGGTCTTCTATACTGAGGCTGGACCATGCGTTGCCTGGGATCCCTGGAGGCCCGGGGGGACCTGGGGGTCCGACGATGCCTCCATATTCAGACCCTGAGACACGAAGATCAAGGAGTCAGGGCCGAGGTCCAGAAGCTCACACGTTCTGCCCCAAAGTACACACAGATGTCCTCACCTCGGAGCAAGGAGAGGAGCTCCTCATAGGATGTTCCTGGCAGGCCAGGAGGGCCCGGGGGGCCAGGCAGTCCAATGCTGACCCCGGAGCCTGGGGAACAAAAGCATTAGTTAGGATGGGGTCAGGCCTGGCAGGGTGGGAAGGTGGACACCAAGGTCATTGGGAGAGAAGTGGGGACCAGGAGAGGGACAAGAGAGGGGAAGAAGAGAGAAGGCAGGGTGGGTGAGTGCAGGCCACCTGCTGTGGAAGGATGTGCGGGCAGCACAGCGCAGACCAGAGCGCTCTCGGGCCCCTCGATCCAGGTCCTCTCACATGTTCTGGGGTCACACCCCCGCCAAAATCACTCTGAATACCACCCACCCTGGCAGCCTGGTAGAAGGGGGTCCCTGGAGCCACTGCAGGGGTTCTGCACCCAAGTCCTCCCCCAGGGCCCCCTGCTGGCCCGCACTCACTGGACATGTAGCTGAGCACGCGGTTGCTCAGCTCTGTGTAGTCCAGAGACAGGAGGGACCCATCTCCGCTGGGCCCAGGTGGCCCCGGTGGCCCACGAGGGCCCATCAGGTACTGCCGGAGGTACTGACGCACGTCCTCCCCTGGAGAGGAGAGGCTCGTTAGAACAGCCTGGTGGAGGGGAGGGGGCGGCATTCTTGAATTCGGGTCAGTATGCAGTCAGCAAGCTTCCTGGTTCCTGCGGAGCCACCAGCCACCTGTGTGCGTCCCCCCATCACTGTGGCTGCTGCCTGCTGGCCAGTCTGTTTGCTGAGCACCTGTTTGCCACCCCTGGCCGGCAGCCCTCAGAGGCTTGACCCTTGGCCCCGTCTGCCTGATGAGCGATGCCAGGAGAGAGCAGCGAGGCCCCACCCTCCAGCCCATTCCAGCCACTCACGCTGCAGCGCAGCCAGGATGTCTTCGGAGGACAGGGTGGCAGAGGCGGAAGAACCGATGCTGTAGCCCGAGGCTGTGGGGAGGAAACCTCGGCTTACCTGCCTGTTCCACTACAGGAGCACCCTCGGGGGTCCCGAGCAAAGGCCTGGTCAAACGGCTGTTCCCACTTGGGGGGTCGGGGTGGATGGGTGGGGATGCATGAGCAGGGGTCCCAGGAGGTTCTTAGAGAAGCTGAGAAACGGGCACAGTTCTGTTTTGCTTTTGTTAGGAAATGCAGCTTTAAAGAGACAGTAGCCCAGGTCTTTGCAGATCCTGCCGAGCCGATGGACCAGAGAACAGAGGAGGGTTGTCTGAAGGCTCACTGGGCAGGGCCTTTGCATGGCCATGGCTCTTAATCTGAAGAAACCCTTTCGTGAAGGCCCCGCATCCGGACCTGACCGTCCGGCACAGGAGGGCCAGGCCAGCAGCAGGTCCGACGTGAGGCTTGGGGGACAAGCGTGGGACCTCAGAAAGGCCTTCAGGCTCAGGTGTGGGGAGAGGCTTACTCTGTAAGTAGCTCACGACCAGACTTGCCAGCTCCGAGTAGTCAAAAGTCTCGCCCGTGATGGTGCTGACAGGCCCTGGAGGACCAGGGGGCCCTGGGGGCCCCTGCACTCCAGAGAGATAAGACCGAATACTGTCACCTGCCATCAAAAGGAAGAAGCAAAGTCAACTCTGTCCCCAGGAGAGCATGTCCTTGTCATGGAGCTGCCCTGATGAAATATGTATCCCGCCCCCATGTGGACCCATGGCAGGGCCAGGGGCAGCCTTGACTGCCCTTGTGGTAGGTGGAGATTCAGGCGGCACATGAGGGGGTTGGGCCAACAAGACCCCATAGGACTCACGACTACAGGGATGCAGGGGTGAGGTCAGGGGAGTGATGAGTGTGAAGGATGCAGGGGGGCAGCTTGTGTGCAGACGAGTGTGCGTGTGTGCGTGTGTGAGCCTCTATGGGGGATGAGAGTGAGGATTCGTACATGGGCAGGTGTGAGAAGGCAGGCTTGTGTATGGCCGTGCAGAGCCTTGCTCCAGGGTCATAAGAACTGCAGGCTTGCCACCGAGACTGTCCCCAGCTTCTCTGACACACCCTCAGACCCTGCTCTGACCTCAGGGCTGTGGGTGCCGGCACTCACTCTGCATGTACTCGGAGACGTACTGCTGAATCTCCTGGCCGGAGCTGCTGATGGAGCCGGGAGGCCCAGGAGGCCCTGGGGGGCCGGGGGGGCCCTGCATGTACCTAGTGCTGGAGGATCCCCCTGCAGGAATGAGAAAGGTTCTGAGTTGGCTTCTCAGCCCAGGGGTCAGACAAGGAGGGTTCCAGACACAGTTTACAAGTCTGAAGAGGCCGGAGGGTCTTGTCCTCACCCTGCGGGGAGTGTGATCATGACAAAGAGAGGGCCTCCCAAGAAGAGAAGCAAGAAGGGCCCACAGCAGTTACTGTCTGCCGGGGCTTAGAGAGGGGGAGCTCTCCCAGGCCAAACTGTCCCCCTCCTTTAACAACGGCCACCTCACCTGGCCTCCCACTTCTCAAATAGCCAGGAGCTGGTCTCCTTCTCTACCACCTGTCACCTGGTGCTGCCCTCTCTTCATAGGCACCGCCCCTCCCGGCCTCCTTACAGACAGCTCAGATCTTAGCGCAGGGAGAGGGTATCCTTGGAAGGACCAGCCTGGCTTGAAGAAAGGGGAGGAGCTTTGGCCACCTTAGGCTCTTACCTCCAGAGAGACCACCAGGAATGCCGGGAGCCCCTGGAACACCAGGATCACCTGGAAGCCAAAATGAGAAGCCCTGTTTGTACCACCTCTTCCAGGAAGCCTTCCCTAGGTGGGCCCAGCCCCACTAGCTTGTGGGTCAATAATCGCCCCATGGCTCTCAGTATCCTTCCTGGTGACACCAGAAGGGCCTTGTGACATCACAAGGCAGACGCTGTATCTCCAGCGCACCGTGCCCTTCTCTCTTCTGCCCCCTCCTTTCCTTGCTGCCTGCTTACCTGGCCTCCATTCAGAGAAGACACAGAGCTTGGGGCTCTTTGTGCCTCTCCTTCTGCCAGGTCAAGGTAAGGCTGGGAATTCTCAGTAGCCCTTCTGACCACAGACTACCTTTCTCTCTACTCTGCTCAGCCGAATCCTCCGGGCCCTCTGTGCTCCCTCCCAGCTGCTGCCTCATGGGAGATGGGAGAAGGAGGAAGCAAGGCCCTGGACCCCTCAGCCTCTTCCAAACTCCTCCAGTCAACAGTTGGTACGCAGGGACACACAGTCTCCTGGCCTCCCTGAGACGCTGTTCTCACCTTGGTCTCCCTTGGGGCCTGGAGGGCCAGGTGGGCCTGGGGGCCCGGAGAATAACACTTCTGTAAAGGAAAGAAATAGTTTGAGTAAGAACCAGGTATCATTTTCAAGAGAGCAGCACCTGGCAGGCCCAGTCTGGCATACTGCAGATGCTCAGCAAAGACTTACTAAATGGTTGGGTGGGTCGATGGATACAGGACGCATACATGAATGGTAGATGGTTGGGTGGTTAGTTAAAAAAAATGAATGAAACAGATAAGTACATGGAGCAATGGAAGGATGCATGGATATATGGTTAACTGGTTGCATTAGAAAATGAATGAAACAAAAATAAATGGAGAGATGGAAGGATGCATGGGTAGATGGTTGGATAGAAAAAATGAATGAGTGAAACACCAGTAAATGGGGAGAAGGAAGGATGCGTGGGTAGAGGGGTGAATAGTTGGGTGGTAAAAATGAATGAAGGAAACAAAAATACAGAGATGGACGGAAGCTTGCATGGGAAGAGGGTTGAATGGTTGAATAATTGGATGAATGGATGGCTTTCTAGATGAGTGAAAGAATGGATAATAAATAGATCAATAAAATAAATGGAAGGATGGATGTGTGGATGGATTTTTACCAGGGCAAGTTTTGGGCTAATGTTTGTTTGCTTCAAGTTGCTCCTGTATGTTCCAGTGTTGGGCTGTCAAAGTCTCTCTCACTTCATATGCACGTGCCCTGTCTGTACTATAGACCTGGACTCTCTCAGGACAGGCACACGTCACCCCAGTCAGCCCTCAGGTCAGATGGCCAGGGTGGCTAGGCAGGCATCTTTTGTTCTCACTCTATGCAGCGGGTAACAGGGAATTACACAAGCATACCCCTGGCATGATGGCCCAAGGGAGGAAGCCTAGCAGGAAGGGTAGGAAGCCCATAAGCCTGTCTCCATGACACGGACCAGGGTTGGGACTGGGAGAACAGGGGTGATTCAACTCTCAGCATTACCTGAATTGGTAAGGGAAGATCCTGGCGGGCCTGGTGGACCTGGAAATCCTTCCCCTAGAGAAGAGGAATCCCATGACTTATTAGGAAAGGTGGGCCTGGGACCCTCTGCCCAGGAGACCCAGCAGGGAAGCTCTGTCCTGAGAGCTGGCTCTGAAGTCTCATTGTCACCCACTTCCCCTCGGGGAGCTCAGCTCTCACCTGCTGGGCCGCGGGGTCCTGGGGGGCCTGGGATGGCAGGTCCTGCACAGGAGAAGGGAGAGGAGCAAGGCTCAACTCAGCAAGCTGATCCCGCCCCTGAAACACTCTCTTGGCTCCCTCACCAGATTCCCGGAGTCCCCTGCCTCGCAAAGATTCACCACCTTTCAAAGATTCCAGAAATGCTCACCTGGTGGTCCAGGTGGCCCAGGTGGTCCTGGAGGACCTCGCAAATCAAGACCACCTGTACAGAGAAGAAAGCACAAATGAACAAAAGTGATACAGCTATTCTCCATCACGCTCTTCAGTCTGCACCAGGCTCTCAATCCTGGACACCCTGGCTGTACCATCCGCAGGCTCTGGGCCACCGACACAGGATCCTTCCGCGTCCTCCCTGTCAGGGGCACCCCTCATTCAGAAGCAGGGTGGGGTTGCCGTCAGACTCTGAGATCTCACACAGATGTATGTCAAGGTAAGAACCTGGGCTTCGGTGCTAGCCGGAGTTGGAACCCCTGCTTCACCTCTCCCAGCTGGGGCCTGGGGTAAGTGTCCCACCCCTCACAGCTTCAGCTGTGTGCCTGCCATGCCGGGAGTGCCCAATCAGGGTTGGCTACTGTCACTGCTGTTCAGCTTCCAGGTGTCCAGGTGGGAGACCTGGCTTGTCTCTTCCTGGGCTTGTGAGAAGGCTTTGTGAATGGGAAGAAGGCCCAGGGGGCAGCGCTCTTTGGCCTGACCTGTGATTGAGAACAAGGGACCCTTTGCCCCTCGCCATCTCTCAGGGTGGGGGTCGGGGGGAGGCGTGTTACTGATACATCCTGCTCACTTCGAAAGCCTGGCTTGGCCCTGGTCCTCTTGGGAGTCCTGAGAACCGCTCTGACCGGGATCTCATTCCTAGGGGCTCCCCTTCCCCACGAGACAAAATCCCTGCTGTTTCTTCTCTGCTTTTATGGCTTTCAGAAGAATGGGCATCCTCACAGCTGGCTCTTTGGGATAACTCACGAGTGCAGCTGCCCTGAGCCAGCGTCCCCTGCTCCTGGAGTGCCTGGTACTCACCTGCAGAGAGGACCTCAGAGATGGAGCTGCCGCTACTCATAAAGGACTCGCCAGTGAGTCCCCGCTCCCCCCTTGGGCCTGCGGAGGGAACATGGCATCAGGGTGGACACTGCTCCCTGCCAGTCCTGTGACCTCTTCTGGAGCAGGACTGGGCCCAAGAGTCCTCACTGAGGGTGGCAGGGCCATCGAGGTGGCTATGAGCATTCCTGTCTGCAGCCACAACACCCAGCGCCCCAGCCTTTCCTGGGCCTGGCAAGTCACGGCAGTAGCAGCATGACCAGAGGGACATGTCACGAGGGGCTAGAGGCCCATGAGAATAGCCTGGCTACCACAGGGCCTCAGTCTCCATTCCAGGGACCCGTTCCTGGAATCTTTTGTGAGATTCCCTGTCTTCTCAGAGACACGAGGGGCTGAGTGGAGGTGGCTCCCTAGCAGCTGAGACATTGTGAGGGCCCTGATGAAGAGCCTCATTGTCCCCTCCCACCCTGCTCCCCAAACCCACACCTTCCCCTCATTTACAGAGCAGCAGCCTAAGTCCACCCTTAGCCAGAAGCCCTCCCCAACCATGCCTTCTTTTGTTGCGCAACTTACCTTGCTGTCCTGGAAGACCAGCTGGACCAGCAGGACCTGAACATGGGGTTAGGAATGAAAAAAGCGAAATCACACACCGCTACATCTGGGTCCACACACGGCTTCCCCACGAGGTAGGGGGCAATGGCTCACAGCAGTTGCTTATTTGAGAGCAATAAGAATAAGGGAGGCACAGTCTTGATTCATCCTGGTGAGACCACCTCTGATGGGCACCAGGGGATCTGGGCGGGCAGGGATGTCCTTGTTAACCACCTCGTTCTGGTGAGTGCATTGTCCGTCCACTCAGTGTCCAGCTCCTCAGAGGGAAGGCTGCTACATGGTCTCTCTTGGTCATGCTAAGCGGTGCACTTCATTTATATATGCAAATTTAATGATAATTTAAAAACACAAAACAGTAGGCCAGTGGTTCTCAACCTGTGGGTGGAGACCTCTTTGGGGGGTGAATGACCCTTTCACAGGGGTCACCTGATTCACAACAGTAGCAAAATGACAGTGATGAAGTAGCAACGAAAATAATGTTATGGTCGGGGGTCACCACCACATGAGGACCTATATGAAAGGGTCATGGCATGAGGAGGGTTGAGAACCACTGCAATAGGCATTTTGAAAAAACAGCACCCAGAGAGCCTCAACCAGAGAGCCTTGGGTGTTATTTCCTGCCAGCATTTTGCTGTTCTTTTTTTCAGTCTTGTAGAAATACAGTTGTCCCCCCAGGGCACGTCGCCTTGGACATCCTTTCTAAACTAAGCCAGTTAGCGCCCAGGAGCTTTCTTCCAAAGACTTCAGCTTTTCTTTGCAGGGTTGGTGTCTGACCATCTGGTAAGATTTACTTCCAGGAGATTTCTAGCATTTTGTTGCCCTCAAATCATCTCCCCAGATGATTTTCTGCAGGAAACCCAGGGGCTGGATTGGCCATGAGGAGGAGCTGGGTCGCCTAATACTAGCCCCTGCCAACAAGGCGATTCATGGTGACCCTGCAGGGCACAGGAGAACTGCTCTGCAGGGTCCCTGAGACTGTCAAGCTTTACAGGAGCAGACAACCCCATCCGTCTGCCCCCTCTTTCTTCCGCTGCACTGACAGGCTTCTCTGTGAACTTAAACCAAACCCACCACCACGGAGTTGAGGTCAACTCATATAGACAAGGCTTTCCAGAAGACAAAACAAAACTAACTGCCACTGGTTGGAGTTGTAAAATCTTTCTGAGAGCAGAAAGCCCCACCTTCCCCCTTTGGTGGTCTTTAACGGTTGACCTTGCAGTTAGCAGCCCAGTGCTTGATCTACCCCTCCACCAGGGAGTCTTTGTTTGACCTTAGGCAAGTTCTTTGCCCTCTGTAAACGCAGGGGCCAGGGAGGGATTTCCATGGGGCTTCTGTGCAGGAGGACTCTTGGTCAGTCGTTCAGGAAGCCACACTGCCCGGAATCACTGACCCAGGGTCAGAGGGTTTGGTTTTGTCAGCCTGTCTTTCCTCTCCCCTGAGCTTCGGGGTTTGAGCAACCACCCCCCTACCCCCCAATTCTAATGCCACCTCAACCCGCTGCTGATTTGGGGCAAAACAAGAAAGCGCGGACTGACCTGGAGAGCCTGGAGGTCCTGGAGGCCCCATTGTTCCAGGAGGTCCCGGGGGGCCAGGGACAGTGATGGTCGATGAGCCCTCTGGAAACAGAAAGCACAGGGGGTGACTGAGCTCCCCTCTTATTTGGAGGCTCTGGGACACAAGCCACCCCCACCCCCATGGGTGTTTCTTTGACAGGCTTTAGGGAGACATGACAGATGCCCAGCCCGGTGAGAAAGACAGGTGGAGGAAGCACCCTACCTGCCGACACGATCTTGCCTGGAGTGCCCGGTTCACCTGGGAGGGGACAGAAGGAAGGAGGGTGGGAGGAGATGATTATTCGATTACTCAGAGGATCAATAAATAATTCTCAAGGCTTCTGATTGCATTTGACACCCCCTTCTGGGCCTATTCCTCTCAGGCTCCAGGCCTTTTAATGACCTGGGAGGGGAGCGATCAGGATGCATTGAGACCCAATCCTTTGGCCGAAGCCACCGGAGGCGGGGACATCCATTTTCCTGTCCGAGTTAGCTCTTGGGTGAGGCTGGCTCTCCGAGAGGGGCTTCCACTCACAGGACAGTGTGGAGAGCTGGCCTCTCACAGAAGCCAGACAAGGGCCAGCCTGAGTTGCATTCAAATTCCTTAAAGCCATCTTCCCACCAGGAGCCCGGATGGGAATTGTCCAAACCAAAACAACCCCAAACTCACTGCCATCGAGCTGATGCTGACTCAATAGGACAGAGTAGAGGTGCCTGCTGTGGGTTTCTGAGACTGCTACTCTTTCCGGGAGCAGAAGCCCTATCTTCCTCCGCAGGAAAGCTGTTAGCAGCCCAGTGCTTAACTACTACGCCACCAGGGCGCCTGGGAACGGTGATAGAGTGGTCCGTGGACAAAGGTCAGCAGGTCCCCTGGTGGGTGCCCCAGCAGTGGGGGCAGAACCCAAAAGAGGTCCTGGAGAATGGCCAGCTTGGAAGATACCAACTAGCTACAGGTGAGCAGATGGCCCGTCTGCCCCTGTGGACAAGGAAAGGAGGCTAGAGGACTTCCAGGAAGACAACACTGCATTCACACGTTCCAAATGGGGCAGCGCTAAGCACGCCTCAGGGCTGCAGGCCCACAGACTCACTTGGGGGACTGGAGCAAGGGAGAGGATAAACCCCTTCATCTGGGGACTTCTGAGACACCTTGTTTCTCATCCCCCCAAATCGGTGGGCAATCCATCACTTCATGAAAGGATGGTTTTGATTTGGTCCCTAAAGGGATCGTCTCTCACTGCTGTACTTGAACCGGGAGTCAGGGTCCAGGGAGCAGAAGCCCTCGTGTCTGCTTCGTTGGCCCACAATCCTCATCAGGCAGGGTGCTCTCTCGTGATGGGGTGAAGCACAAGCCCTCAGGAAGGGCAGCGTGTCCGGTATCCTTGGGAGTCCCACACCTTCCTGGGCTCTCACCAAGGACACTGGCAGTCCCTAGGGGCCCTGAGTTCTGTCTGCCTGGTCCTCTCTAGATTCAGCTGTCACTACCTTGAAACGACATTTACTTGCCCTGAAAACATAAACATGTAAAACCACTTCCTGGAGCCAACCTATTGCTGGAAAAGTAACTCGTGGAAAGCAGTTATTTTATTCCCAGGGTCCCGCCAAGGGGGATGGTGACCATGCATGACAGAGCCCAGCTCCACAGAACGTCAGGGTTCGGGTCATGGTGATACAGGAACAGGAGAGGGACCAGGGCTGGGGTCTGATGGTACCACGTGCTCTATGGACAGGACGGGAACAGGACCCAAGCACCTCTGTCAGGCCACTGAGAGTGCACCCCTGAATTAGTCCCTCTACTCTGGTCCTCTGGGTGTGTCCAACACCCTCCTTTCTGCTTCCATTGAAGGAGCCTTGGAGGAAGGTGCTGTCAATAAGGTGTATGTAACTGAGAAGACAAAGGTGTTTCCCTGGGCCAGGGGTGTTAGTGGGGAACACAAGCTGCCTCTAGGGGGGCATTCTAGGGGCAAACCAGGGAATGACAAGCTTCTGTGTGGGGGTGGTGGTGGTGGTGGTGGTGCAGGCAGCATCCCCCCCTAGGTAGTTCTGCCCTAACAGCCTGGACACATTTACCCGTGAGGGCCAGGCTCTTACTTGTGGGTAGATGGGGGATGGCATGGTGGAGCTGAGAACGGAGGGCTTAGCTGCTGGGGACACACTGGACAGCCCGACCTCACAGCCTGCCACTAGAGCCACTAGATGCCACTGTTGATCCCGGCTTCCACCCCAGAGGTACCTCCCTCCCTCTGGCCAGCCCCCTCCCCTGCCCAGAAATGATGAGTGGTCAGAAAGGATATCTAATTTGGAAAATCTCTTACCTTTAACTCCTGGCCGGCCCGGGGAACCAGGAAGTCCTGATGGGTTTAAAAACAAAATGAGAAGTTAGACAAAGGAAAGCCCAGTAGACCAGGCACCCTGTAATATGCTGAGAGTCACTCAGTGTGGGTACAGGGACCCAACCCTGAGTTCACCCAGGTTTGGCCTTCTGCTTCAGCTCAGGGGACCCCTCTGGCAGCCTCTGACTCTTATTTTCCCTCTCCACTGGGCTTGAGGGAGGCAGAGCTCCCCGGCTCAGCCCTGGGGGACTGGAGTCCTGCGAGTCGCCTCGGTCTGCAAAGCTTTCTCCACAGAGCAGCGAGGTGTGTGGAGGTGCGGGAGGGGGGCTTCCCGAGTCAAAGTCTGCACACCTCTCAAGGCCTGATGACCCCTCGGTCGCCATGAGTTGCAATTGACCCAATGGCAGCTGGTTTGGGGCTCAGTATCCATCCTGGAGCCAGGTGGAGCCTACTGGACCTTTCACCAGAGAACATTTCAAGTCTGTCACTGTGCGTGCACCTTCAGGGGACCTGCTGCTTGATTCTAATTTGCATCTCAGCCTGCATTCCTGGAGGAGTTGGGGCTGGTGCACTGACCATTTCCCAGATCCAAGTGGATGTACGTTTGCTGGGCCAACCATCTCAGTTCTGACTCATGGTGACCCTACAGGACAGGGTAGAACTGTCCCTATGGGTTTCTGGGACTGTCACTCTATGGGAATTGAAAGCCTCATCTTTCTCCTGCAGAGCTACCGGTGGCTTCAAACTGCTGACCAAGAGGACAGCAGCTCAATGTATGCCACTATGCCACCCGGGCTCCCCTGGGCCAACTACGGGACAGGATTTAGCATGAGGCCGTTTCAGAGAAGCCGGATCTTCCAAACGAGTGGAGCATCCACTTCGTACTAGGCCAGTGGGATTGTGGGCCTCAGTGGGGTTGCTTCTCTCTTTTCTATCTCAGTGGCTTTTGGGATTGTCCTGTGTGGGGGGCGTCTTGCTCCCCAGGTGCTTCTCATGACTCACAGTAACAGGACCTGCGCCCGTGCTGGCTGGAGTGGCAGGTGGGAAGGGTGGGAAAGGGTGGGCAGGCCAAGGGCATGGGAGGAAGATCACTGGCTGCAGCGACTGTCCCGAAGGAGGGGGTGGGTGGGAGAACTTGGAGGTAGAAGTGGCCGTGACTCACCCTGAGGTCCCTGGGGTCCTGTGAGGCCTACGGGAAATAGAACACAGGAGTCAGAGACGGCAGATTGGAGCCTTCGTTCACTTTCACTGTAGCTGCTCTAACGATAGGCCATCTTCAATTTCTTCTTGAAACAGGTTCTAATAACCCTGCAGGGTTCATTTCAGACTCTGACAAAATCCCATTCCACCCCTGCTCCACAATCAAAGACCTCCTTGGGATAATTTTACTAAGCCTCTTGTTACTATCCTTAGTCGCCCCACCCCTTTTAGGAGACCCAGACAATTACACGTCTGCAAATCCTGCAACCCCCTCCATGTTAAACCTCAATGATACTTTCTCTTTGCACACGCAATCTTACGATCCATCCCTAATAAATTAGGTGGTATACTAGCCCTCGTGTGCTCAATCCGCATTCTAGCTATTTTTCTACTAATACATACATCAAAACAATGAAACCTAATATTCTGCCTGCTTATTAAAGTCTTTTCTGAATCCTAGTAGCTGACTTATTGGCCAAGTAGCCTCAGTTCTTTATTTCACTATTATCTTAATCCTCATACCAACTCTTAGTATCCTTGAAAACAATTGATTAAAGAGTCCAGGTAGTATAAGGATTATTATGGTCTTGTAAACCATAAATGGAGCATTTTACTCTCCCATGGACACTGACTCAGGAAAGAGACTTCTTTCTGCCCTACCGTCAACACCCAAAGCTGATATTCTAACTGAACCATTTCCTGATTTCACGATGCATTTCATTCAGACAATGCCTCGCCCCATATCGCATACTATGTATTATCCTCATTCAACTATATTCACTTTTCTTATAAGCTTGTGAATCTTAATCAAATCTTCTAGACCCAATAACTTCATCCACATCAACTATCATCAACAACTTCATCCACATCAACTATCATCAACAAGCGAATCTTCTTATCCATTTACTTAATTAAACAAGGAAAATATATCTTTTGTCCATAGCACATCACTGCTGCCATTATTCCAGTCACCAAGCTTATCACCACCCTTATCTTTCATTAATCACTAAGCTTAGAGAAACCAGCAACCCACTTGGCGATGCCCATTCTCTCTCTAGGCCCATAAAATGTGGAGATTTCCACAAATGAACTTTATCAGACATCCGTTTCTCTTCAGGACCATCTCACCTAAAATCGCCCACTCTTTCCCCTTAAATAAGACATCTCTGGATTCATGACTGGTCTCCCCTGCTCACACATAACTGTGGTGTCAAACATTTGGTATTTTTTTTTAAATTTGGGGGATGCAGTGATCCAGTCAGGCTGTCTGAGGCCTAACTCAGTCAAATAAATTGTAGCTCGACTTCACTTGAATAATCTTAACCCTCATATTAATAATGAGGACTATTTAATTCCGGCTTTATGGACATAAAGAATTTTACATCAGAATTCCCAGCGCACGTGCATACGCATACACATATGCAGCCACATGGCCAGTTGCAGGGGCAGGTGGGCACACCACCGTGAAAGAGACTAGGTGGGACCCCCGTGGACCTGAGGCATGGGACATGGAGCCATTCTAAGGCTTTGCAGGGAAATGACCCACTGCTCCCCCTGGATAATGGCTTTTGCTTATTTGTAACCACTGATCCTTTCAGCATCTGAGAAGAGCCACAAATCCAGAGGAGACACACAAAGACCCCCAGTGGTCACCCCGGCTCCTTGGGAAGAGACCCTGCCTCTGCCCTGTCTGAGTGCCCAGAAAGGGGGCAAACGGCTCACCCCCACCCCCCTGCTCCTCAGAGTTGCCCTTTCTGGACTTGTTTTGATTCTTAGTCTCGTGACCCTGCGGGTCTCACGCTTGCGCTGCCTTTGATGGGAGCTCTAGAGTCTGGGGGAGAAGGGGGGTACAGGTGAGGGCCGAGGAGGCTGTGGAGGAGCAGATATTTAGATGACTTTCGACTCTGCAGCTCTGAAGAGGGTCCTCACCCCCTTTCTAGACTCTGCTTTCCGTCCTTGATCTCTCTCATCCAACTCCCCAGATGTGGTGACTCAGGTGCCCTGCTCTCCTCAGACCCGGCAACCAACACGAGACCTAATGCCCAGCCTCTGGGTTGGGGCAGCCCCCTGATGAACTGCTGGAAGTTCATCACCTCCCAAAGCTGTGGCTTCCTCTTCCCGCTCAGTTACCTGGCTTTCCCGGATCTCCAGATGGCCCTGGTGAGCCGCGGATTCCTGGCATCCCTGTGAGGCCTTGTTCACCTGGAGAAAGGACAGCGGCAGGGAGATGCTTCCCATCTATGAAGCTGAACTGGCCACCCTGCCATTTTACTGACTGCTTTGCTGGCAGGTGGAGATGAAAAGGGGGCCAGCATTGCTCAGGGGACAGGAGCTTCACCCCGGGCGGGACACAGGCAGGACATGCAGCAATAAGACGGGTGAGACAAATAAACCAGTGACCAACCTCTTAGGCCTTGTTGTCCATCAGGGCCAGCAGGACCTGGGAAAGCGGAAGCAAAGCTCATCGGTCACTTCAGAAGCTTTCTGGGCTTCCCTCCCTGTGCTGTCGTTTCGAAGTTGGTTGTCCCCCTCTGGGAAACCCAAGGCAGCACTTCCTGATGCCATTGGCCATGGTAGGGGCCTTGTCTTTGGCCTACCCTTTGAATGGAGACTTCTCCCTGCCTCCTCTCTTCTTCATCAGTACGAATTGAATTGTCTGTCTCCTCACTGAGAAGTGCCCACGACGACTCCCCATCACTTTCCCAGTGCCTATGGGGCCACAGTGACCACACCAATGACTCCGTGCAAGCCTTTGGGACACTCACCCATTGCTCCTTTAGCCCCGGGCTCCCCTACAGCTCCAGGCAATCCTCTCTGGCCAGGCTCGCCTGCAAAGGACAAAAGGATTAGTTGGTCAGAGATGGTTATGCTCCGTGTACTTCAACAATGCTGGAAGGATCCCACTCGTTCCCACTGGGCCCCTGCGTCTGTCACCTCCCTGACAGATGAGGTTGAGTGTCACCTGGAGTCTGGGGAGGCAGCTTCTGCTTTGACTCCATACTCAGGACCACCCAACCACCTCAGTATAGCCACGGACGGCCCACAAGCCACGCCTGATCTGCAGGGCCACGTGTATGGGACTTGTTTCCTCCGAAGCAGAAAGATGCCCGTGCCCTCAGAATACTAGTACCTTTGGTCCCCTTTTAACCAAACAGCCTGTCAGGCATAAGTGGCCGAATGGGTCATAGTGATGCAGGCATTCTGCTGCTTTGGGATGAGTTGAATTTTCCCAACTGAATTCTCCCTGAAAGAATCAGGGACCATCCCAAACTTCCTTTTCTTCCCACAGCATTTCCTCTTGCACTATACATTTTGATGCTTCCTGATGGTCTGTCAGCCCTTCTCTGACCTTGCCTGTGGGTTCAAAGCCACTAGCTGCTCTGTCGGAGAAAGACAAGCCTGTCTACTCCCGGACAGACTTACAGAGTCTCAGATGCCCTGTGGAGGGCTGCTGTGAGGTGGCGCCGCCTCGATGGCGGGAAGTTTGATTTGGGTGTGTGTACATTTTGCTTTGTTATTTTTTCCCTCTAGATTGAAAGCTCCCTGAAGGTTTTTAGACAGTGATTCTAACTCACACATCTGTGTTTTACCCCCACTTCCCATGCCCGATGGATTTACAAAAAGTCATTCATAGAGCCAGTAGATTTCTACATAAGACTCACCTGTGAGGCCCCGGGGTCCTTTCTCGCCCTGGTCACCTAACAGGAACATGAAGGAAACATCAGCTGACAGTAAAGGAAAGCAATCTCACCCAGCAACAGGGAGCCCTGCGTGGGAAGCAGGTCTGGCTCTATTGGGAAACTGCGAGGCGGGCTAGCAGAGTTGGCCAAGGGCTCGGCACGAATGAAATTGAAGCACACGCGATCCCTCGCAGGGCAAGGTGCTGCCCAACTGTCGCACACGTGAGGCTGCAGGCCAGGCTGGACACCAGCCCTCACCCTCTGCCTCTTCATCGCCTGGAGGACGGATGGTCAACCTTGGGGTTGGCCCTGGTGTATTTTCTCTCTGGGACTCAGTTTTCTGGTTGGCAAAACTGGACAAGAGTGAGCTGTTCACTCCCTCTGATCTCTGCTCTCCGACCCTGCGGCAGGGCTCCTATTAGGGTCTCGGAAGCTGAGCAGACTAGCCTGACAGAGCAGTGTACCTTTGGGTCCTGATGGTCCCATGGGTCCTTTGTCACCTGAAAAGCAAATAGCCCCTCTCAGTGTAAAGCTTCTTGGAGAGGGACAACCCAGGAAGTGAGGGGCCTGTCTCTGAAGACAGGCTCCCACTCCAGCCGAGCCTCCTCTCCCGCATTCTCATCCGGATCTGCACAGCCTGCAGGTCATGCCTGAAGGACCCTCCCTGTTCTCCCAGCCTGCCTTCTTCAGTAAGAGCCATTCCCTTCTCTGAGAGTCCTGTCTGACAGCTTACCTTTGATCCCAGGGAGTCCCACTTCACCTCGGAGCCCCTGCAGGCCTATAGGACCTGCCAACCAGAGAAGACAAGGCAGTTGGGTAAGTGCGCGCGCGCGCGCGCGCGCATACACACACACACACACACACACACACACACACACACAC